CAAGTTGGTTAAAGATCTTGGTCTTATGGAAATACCTCCTTCTAATGGAAGTTTACTTAGTCACAGGTAGGTCATGATTCCTCCAGCTCTGCTTGATCGATTCTTAGTCTCTAAGGAATGTGATTTTTCTTTTCTTTTTTTCTTTTTTTTGATAATTCTAGAGTTTCAAGGCAATGCTGGTTGAAGTTGTTCTCGGTTTTCCATATTCAATGGGTGGGCTCCAATTCCTTCAAGGATACATTCTTCATTTGCTAAATAGGGTCGTCTTTGGCTCCTAAATCGAAGTTGTTCTGGTCCATCACGGTTAAAGCTCTTCACCCAAAATTATGGTCTGAAAGGAATCAAAGGTTCTTTTTTTTCTTCAGCTCATCTCAGCATTCTTCCTAGTGTTCAGCAGATTATTCTGTTCAGGGTTCATCTATTAATTGGAATATTTTTATTTTTCTGTTGCTTTTATTTGTTTTATTGTTTTTCAGTTTTTTCTCCATGCTTTTGTAGAGTTTGTAATTTTGGAGTTTTTTAGTCTCTTTTTATTAAACCAATGAAAAGTTTTGTTTCCTTTTCTCTCGATTCAACTTGAAGTTAAGAATCTTCCAGTAATTCATGGTTTCAAAAGGCAGGGGTAAAAAAAAAAAGAAGCATAAAATACCTTCTTTTTTTCTTTTGCCCACTGCAGTTTGTTATTTTTAACCTTACCATTTCAATTTTATCACATTAAATCATTAGTAATGCACTGAATACCTGAATTTCAATTCCATCTAACTAAAACTCCAAACTTCATTGATTATTATTGAGGGAGCAGTAAGGATCTCAGCAATTAGACTCAAAAACTTCAATAATAATGAACTCATGCATCATTTCAAACTCTCAAAAAGGCTGAGACCAATGTAAGAGAGAAAAATGAACATAAGTTAAAGCATCTAATCAAAGGAGGGCAAACAAAGTAAACGGAATAAAGGAAACTAAGCTTACCAAACATTATATTGAAGGAAGTTGGCGGTGGAGTGGACATAAAGTTGAGACCAATGTAAAATAGCCATGCTAATGCTATAGAAACCATGACATAGGCAGGCACCGCCAGAGCCCAGTACCTACGCAGAAATCATTGCCCATTTTATTCACCCAACCAAACAATCATTTTACTACAACGTTTTTACTGCCAGGAAACAGAAGTAAGGACTGTAAGAGTAATATTAGATATGACATCGCATTCTCTAGACATGGAGCCGTATATACATGAACTTGTTTATTCACCAAAACAGGAATCTGTTTATACCAATTTCCCATTATTATACATTTAATCACATAAATTTTCTAAGGAGATATTGTAATCTTTCACAGTACTTCATAATTATTTTTACTTCATAATAGTTGACAAAAGATCGATATCGACAATTTTTTTTTTTAAAGAAATCCTTAAGAAAACTAGAATTTTTGAGTTGTGGGATGAAAGTTCGGTGGCTGTTTTGAAGAGATATTGTGGGAAGTTCTCCATCTCAATCTGGTGAGTTTATGCTAGATTTTGGGAGCCTACACCCTCCCTCCAACCATGTTCAAGAGGAGTTTTGGAGAGAAATTTAAGATCCTTATGGAGTAACAGGTTGGTGTATTAGAGCTGGTTCGGTTTCACGAGATTGACCTTTAAGAAAATCTATCAGTGGAGTGTGCACTGTGAGTTTGAGAATAGGGGGATTCAATAAATTGATTGAAGAGCAAAGTCTGATTGAGAAAACTCCTATCAATAGCGGTGCACTAGAGGCAAATAAATTTCAGGAGATTGTCCTTGACAAATCTTTAGGTTAAATGGAGTTATTCATGAAGCATACAACTTAATGCACTAAGACCACGATGCAGTTTTAATTTAACTAAGAAGGATGACTTCCTACGTCTCCATACTCATAGAATAATTTCAGTTAATGCTTATTTTGTTCAAACAATGTAGCCCTTAAGGGAAGGCAAAATAGTGCCGTTCACAGCAATGAAATAGTGTCATTCATAGCAATGAAGAAAGAATAACGAAGGATCGGGATATTGCTGACCTGCTAGGATAGTAGAAGATTCCAACGGAATGCAGCCAAGAGTCTGGAACATATGCCCAGATCAAGTATACACCTGTTCACAAGAAACTCAGAAATTTAAGCTCAAATAATTCTTCAGAGGTAATAAATTAAAGGAAAAATGATTCAATATTCCAATACTGTTCTGTAATTAATTGGATCCCAACTGTTTTTGAAACATTCCATTGTTAAACTACATAATCAAAGCTCCCTAACGCAAAGCAAACATATGTAGTGACTCAACAGGCATGTACATGAAGCGAACCTGTAGCAACCACTGTTGTGATGGAACCCACAAACCCATAAACTTCTGAAGGTTTGGGGCCATGTTCTCCCGATAGCCCAAACCCAGGTGCTTTGTCATCTCTGTCCAAGGAGATCAAAGTTCTTCGTTTCTTTGATAGACTGAGTATTCTTCTAGGGCTACTAACAGAATGGAGATCTTCCATATGTTAAACTTCTCAGCCCGGATATATATTCGGTAGTTTGAATTCTAAACTATCCTAATCCAAATTTCTCAATGTAGACTTCTTCTCAGCTAATCTTCAATTAGTTTCCTGCACTTGCATAAATTGTATTTTGACTGTGTATAATTTTTCAATAAAAATATAAATCAGATAAAAGATGTGCCAAAATTTTAGGGGCCAAATAGTTCAATTCAAACAGGAAGTGAAGACAACAGTTGATGATCAAACATCTGAACGTAGCTTGCAGTTGAAAAAAAATCATAAAATGGAGATTCTGAACTTTTCATCGACATCAATTTCCTAGACATAACAGGTGAAATCTTAGTCAAGTTATTCCTTGTTTGGAGCATCAACGATAGTCCCCATGACACTTTTTTAAAGCCAAACAAAAATATGTCATAACCGGGAGAACTCAACAAGGAGAGAGCTGGAAAAAAACAAGTGATCAGATTTTCATGTTTGCTGTGAAAGCAAAAGAACGCGATAATACATATTCCGTTAATCTAAACATTCTATCAGAATCATCATTGATATTTTTCTCCCTGAGCTGATCGCGAAGACAGTTGATTTCTTAGAAATCAATAACTAAATTCCAATTTCTAAAGAATTTATCACGGAGATAATATAAAATTATAATTTACAAGCAAGTTGCACAAATATTCACAATGTTAGCACTACTATCAACAAAGATGAGAAAGAAAAAAATTAAAAATTAAAAACACTGACGCCGTTGGCCAAAGGAAATGCGATCCAGAACTTAAAGACATCGCAGTTCATTCACGAGTGTTTAAAGTTCGATGGCCTGGAAAATGACAGCAACAGATTTTCTCAAGCGAGTTACTCAAATCAAACCCATCGCAAAAGAATGACAAAGATAAAGATTGTCTGGAGATCAAAATTTTCTATTCTCCACTCGTTTTCAGTAATTCAGACGGCAAATACAGCGCGATACATGCTTGGATACAAGCGGAAACAGCAAATCGGCAAATCGGCAAAATGTAACGACCAATTCAATCGAAAATTTGGAAAGCAATACAGAAATCAAACGAAAGTAATGCAATTGAAATTCTTCTGACATGAAAACAAGAGATCGAAATTCATACCGTCGAGAGAAGAAAGCGCGCGCGGGAGAGGAGGGATATCGCAGGAGGAAGAGAAGGGATCGACTGTGCCAAAGCCACTGAAAGCTTTTTTCTTTTTTCATATTCATTTTATTATTTTATTTTTTCACGTCTAATTTATTATTATTTTTAAAATAATGTATTTCACATCTAATAGCTTTCATCATATACACTTAATATTCATTGGGTCTTCCCTTTCGAGCTTCCCCTCAAGGCTTTAAAACGCATCTACTAGGGAAAGTTTTCTACACCCTTATAAATAGTAGTTTGTCCTCCTCCCCAATCAATGTGGGACATCACAATCCACTCCCAAGGTCATCGTCCTCGTTGGCACTCTTTCTTTCCTTTAATCAATGCGAGACCGCCCCCAAATCCACCCCCTTTGGGGCCCAGCATCCTTACTGGCACACCACCTCGTGTCTACCCCCCTTCGGGGAACAGCGAGAAGGCTTACACATCGTTCGGTGTCTAGCTCTAATAAATTTGTAATGACCCAGATCCACCACTAGCAGATATTGTCCTCTTTGGGCTTTCCCTTTCACGCTTCCCCTAACTATGATGTCCCACATTGGTTGGGAGGGGAACAAACCACCATTTCTAAGGGTGTATAAACCTCTCCTAGTAGACGCGTTTTAAAGCTTTGAGGGAAAGCCCGAAAGGAGAAGCTCAAAGAGGACAATATCTGCTAGCGATGGATCTGGGTCATTACAATATATCTTGATTGTATCCCAATAGAAGAAGACTCCCGATCTTCTTTTAGTATAAATAGGCATCAGACTCCATATCCCAACAGAAGAAGATATAAGAAGACTCCCTTGTCCTCACCCCACCCTGTGGACATATCTTTGGGTTGAGACGGTTCGGGTCAAATTTTCTTGAAACTAACCACCCTAACACGACTCAATTCAATTCGGTTTGGGTGCTCTCACCAATATTTAGTAAGCTATATCTTTCGTAAGGTCGACCATTCAATACTCAATATCTATAAAATTTAGACTTTTGTAGAAATAATAAAAATAAAAAAAAATGTTGAGCTGGTCCAACTAAAAAGGTTTGAAATTGATATTAAATTAAAAAACGGAATAAAATTTTATAATTAAATTTACATTTATTTTAACAATTAATTTCCTCATAGTCAAAACTATATTTAAAGGCGATCCAATCGCCCCTTACAATTTACTCTAAAAGAATTCATAAAGGAAGACCATAGCCGTTGCAATTACGCGACCCTTAAAAAAAAAATAATAATAATATAATAAGGTAATGAAATGACATAAATACCCTCCACCGACCGTAACGCTCATTCTGAGGCAAAATTTACGTGCCAATTCTTACGGTCAATCCCTTCTCTATTTAAACCACCCACTCGTCCTCCGTTTGTTTCCGCGTTTTCCCTCGTCTTCTTCAGATCTCTTTCTCTCTCTCGATCTTTGGCGCGCTCCGTTTTCAACTGTAAGAATCAGAATCTTGCTCTCTTCTTTTTCGCCTTATATCTTTGTTAATTGCGTTACTTGTTGTTTGATCTCTGCATTGTCTTCTGTTTCCGCTTGAATTTTGTTGCGTTTATTTGTTGATTTGCTTGGTTTTGCTGCTACCGTTTGGATCCAGCCGTGTTTTTCTTCTGGTCTTGCGATTTCGTGTGGAGAATCGAGAAATCTTAGCTTTTGAGGCTTTTCTTGTGCTGTGTGGTTTTAAATTAGTTAGTTTTTTTTTTTTTCATTCTCTTAGATCTGTCTTTGAATTTATTTACCGCCACTTTTCTGGTAGGCTAAGAATGGAAAAATTGAGAATGAACTGCGAAGTCTTTACTTATGGCTTGCATGTTCTTTCGCCTGTTTGTTCTGTAAATGATGCTTATTGGCAGTACTAATTGTGTTATGAATGTTTAACAGTTGTGCATGTTTTTATTTCTGGATCCTAAATGCTTAGCTTATGTTTTTCGTGGTGTTTTCTTTGTTGAAATAAATTACTAAGGCCAGGCATGTCGGATCTGCAAAAAATCGATGAAAGCTAATATTTATATTAATGTTTTGAAGACTAAAGAGTTTTTGTTTTTTCTCCTCTTCTTTTCTATGTTCGAGAATCTAGAGGATATATAGACTAAGAAGATTTGATTGCATGTATCATTTAAGTTTTAACATGTTATGCTTTCAGCCTAATGTTCTTCCATGTTTATCTTGCCTGTCTCTCCTCCTTGCTTTAGTGCTGAAACCTGGTTTTGACATACTTTTATCTGGCTTCATGTAGTTAGTCAGTTAATTTTTAAATCAGTGTGATGGGGACTGTCGTTGATGCTGCTCCAATCAAGGTATAATTTGACTACGTTTTTACTTCCTATATTGAGAAAATTTATGCCAATTGAACTAATCAGAATCTCCATTTTATGATTTTTCTGGAGTTATGTGGGGATGGTTGTCTTTGCTTCCTTCTTGGATGAACTATTTGACCTGAAATTTCAGAAAAGGTTGTTCTGATCTACATGGTTCAAATGAAATTGCAGGCAACTAATGGAAGCTTAGCTGAGAAGAAGAAGCCTACAGTTGTCTTTGTTTTGGGTAAGTATACTTTTCAAAGATTAAATGCATTCGTAGGTGCTTCCTTTCTACCCTCCTTATGAGAAGAACTTCCATTTATTTTTTTATGCTACATTTTGTTTTGGGTTCTAAGTGGTAGTTGGATTTTCTAATTACCAGGTGGGCCAGGTAGTGGCAAGGGTACTCAATGTTCAAATATCATTGAAAACTTTGGGTATACTCATCTTAGTGCTGGTGATCTTCTTCGGGCAGAGATCAAATCTGGTTCAGAGAATGGGTATGATATATGTCCTCGTACTTATGTTTCCAAACTTGAATAAGTATTCATTCAATCCTTATTTGTTTATTCATGCATAGTTGCCAAAGGTTAAAAATTCCATGCTTTTGGTGTCTCATTGCTTCAATTGAAGGAAATTCTGAATTTACTGTGAATTCCTATTTGTGCTAGATGTCAGGAATGCAAATTACATATTGTCTACTGATCCTACCACTTGATTTTCTCAGGACAATGATTCAAAACATGATTAAAGAAGGGAAGATTGTTCCTTCAGAGGTCACAATAAAGCTCCTTCAACGAGCAATGGAGGAAAGTCATAATGACAAATTTCTCATTGATGGATTCCCTCGTAATGAGGAAAATCGTGCTGCATTTGAAGCTGTTGTAAGCCATTTTCCTCTTTTCTCTGAGCATGGTTCTTTTAAAATTAAATTCCATTCTATACAATTGATTGTTGAGGTTGTTGTACAATCCAAGCTAGTAGTTCCATTTCACGTGACACAATAGTATATTTCATTGATGTTTTGCAGACAGGCATTGAACCATCTGTTGTTCTGTTCTTTGATTGTCATGAGAAAGAGATGGAGAGGCGCCTGCTGAGTAGGAATGAGGTTCGAAGGGATTCATTTCTCCTGTATTTACATTTTTTCTTTGAAATTTTAATTTGACGTTAAGAATTTCCTTTATGGATATGATTCAGGGAAGAGTGGATGACAACATTGAAACAATTAGGAAGCGGTTTAGGGTTTTCTTGGAGTCGAGCATTCCTGTGATTGAGTACTATGAATCCAAAGGAAAAGTTCGGAAGGTTCTGATTCTTTCTCTTCAAACGTCAGTACTTTTTGGTCTATTTTTATTTTAAATTTTGAATCATGTTCTACTCTTCTTAGATTGATGCAGCGAGGCCTATTGAGGAGGTTTTTGAATCGGTTAAAGTTGTTTTTACTCCAAAAAATGAAAAGGTAAGTTTTGATGATATGCTATGTGTATATTTTTTTTCATTAACACTTCTTGCAATTGCTTGATAGAGAAGCTGAAACTCAGCGTTAGTTAGGCTGATGAGAAAAGTCATCAAATTTGGAGGGCTTGGGATGCCTATATAGTTCGGCTTCTTATTGGCATCAGAAAGAGATGCCAACAGAGTTTGTTGTGATTGTAGCCAAATTTCAAAATCTGAACCATGCTTGAGTACCAAACTCACACCTAGGGTCTGTTTGTTTGTAGGGAATTTGAATGTCCAACATCTTTTCATGCCTGGTATTTAGATGCCGGGCAATTTGGAAGCCCAATGTCTTCTCATAGTCCTGTTTGTTTTTTAACTGGAAAATTCCAATAGATGTTTTGTAATACAAATTAGATGAATATTGCATCCGAAGACTAAAAATTTAAATGTTGAACTTTTGCGGCACTGAATCTTTACGCATTAGACTGTTTCCTTCCGACCTTTTGTGGCCCTGAATCACCCTTGTTTTCTTTTTTGCTACAGTCTTGTTATGCGTAATACATTCTGGCATTCAATTCCTCATTACTGGTACTAATATTGCTGTGCTTTGCCTTGTTGCAGGCTAACTGAAGATCAACTACCCAGTAGTTTTGCATTAATATCTGCTTTAAGGTAAGCCTCGTCACAAACTTTGCTGATCGGCTTTTCTGGATGATACGTTCTTTGAAAAAAAAATTAAAGAAAAAAAAAAATTCTTGGCCTGTAGAACATTTAGGTTAGTTGATAATAAGATTTGTGTCTGTTATCTAATAAATCAACTATGTCTAGTGTGAGCTCTAGGATTTCAATTTCGAATCATACTTGATAGACTAATGTTGTTATTTAAGGAAGAATATATTTGACTTTATGATTGCAATGTATAAAGCTGCATAAGTAGCATTTCCCCATTTTTAAACCCTTCGTGGTTGCTTCAATTCCATGTTTCTAATTTTTTTTTTTTTTATTCTATTGGTAGGTATTGATTTTGGTGGCTGTGTCAGAGTTGGATGTTTAGGTTCTATTCTATACAAGGAGTTAACCATATATTCTTATTATTGTTACCGTACTTTGTTACTAAGATTTGTAATAATAGTAAGTAGCAGGTTTCTTTGCATCTTACAAAAAAGAAAAAAGAAAAAAAAAAAAGGTCTATGTCTCTATATTCGTATTGAGATTGTATCCATTGATTTAAATAATAAAGGCAAGCCTTGGTTCTCTACTATTGATCTTTTATTAGCATTGTCTCTTCCCTTTAATGCATTGCTCCACCCCATCCCCATCCTCATCTACACAGCCTTCAGCCATTTTTTGGCATCTAAAACTAAAAGCAGCCTCATTATAAAACTTTTGACAGCTTCTTACACATAATACAGACAAGGATTCGCCGGTAGATCATTGTCATGCTCATCTCAATTGAAGGGGAGAAAAGAAATGATCCGTCTACAGCTAGACTGTAAGAGCTTCAATTTTTTACGCCTTAAAATGCATGGAAATTTTGAATGATAGCTAGTCCAACTGATCTCTTTAATATATTTGACATTTTTTAAAAAATATTATCAACTTTGGATACAAAATTCTTGTACTTCTAATAGATACCAGTCCAAATAGACTAGATTTTCCCAAGAATTTAATAAGATTATCAACCTATTATGATACTTTTTGATGTTTAGAGATCTATTAGATATAGGTTTAACTTCAGCTCTTAAGAGAGTGGGTAATAGATGAGTTAAAGAGACCTTAGAAAGACTATAAAGACATTCCAGATCGACTACAGGACTAGGACTATAATACAAGTCATGAGCGATAGTGAAGCCAAGTCGTGAGCGATAGTGAAGCCAAGTCGGATCAAAGCCAAGTCGGATCAACTTTTGATGTAGAACGTTCAAAAACTATCCATCTTCTAGCAAACAATTAAGGCTTGCGAATTAAGGCTTGCCTCGCAATTAGGAGAGCAATTTGAATGAATATGAATGCATATAGATAGAAAAGTTTGAGACATTGGTGGTTGTTATTAGATGGATATGATAGGTTAAACGAATAAGATACCATTGTCCTTAATGGCATCAATGACAATCTCAATTTTGCCTTCAATTTTTGCACTCTTTGGAGGGTCGTAAGAGATTACAAATACATCAGCTTCTTTACATCTCTCAGCAATTAGGTTCCCAATAATCCGACACGCATTGTCATCAGTGGGCGATGGCAATGAATACCTTAAATCCTTGCAATTGGTGCTTGCTGCCGACACCACTTTGCTTGTTCCTCGATGCATCACTTTGGCATGTATGAACCTCCTTGAAAAGTATACATCCAAAACAAATGGTCTCATGTACATATCTGTTCTTTGCTTCCATGATTTCCTGTTCGGTCTTTTTGAAGTTTCTCCTCTAGATCTTCTTGTCCAGGCTGCTTGAATGATAGAATTCTACAAAATGAAAACATGTCGAAACCTTAGATAATGTTCTACTCTTACGAAGTACGACATTGTCCTCCAACATGTGGTTTTTAGACATTTATTCGTAAAGATATCCACATTTCAAAGGATCAAATGTTAGGATTCACGGATCTCCACAATGGTATGATATTGTCCACTTTGAGCATAAGCTCTCGTGACTTTGATTTTTGTGTCCCTAAAAGGCTTCTTACCAATGAAAATATTTTTGTTGCTTGTAAACTCATGATCAACTCCTTAATTAGCCAACATGGGACTCCTTCCCAACAATCCTCAACACGAATAACTTACCCTCCGGGTAAAGATAAACCTATCATTCTGATCAGGAATCCTCAAACACGAATGAATGATTAACGCTGAAAAAGAATTATAGTTTCCATTATTCCACCTTTTCACTCCGCCCATTGCTTTTGTTCATTTCAGTACCCATAATTCTACTCTATTGGGCTAGAGAACATCTCATCCTATATTGAAAACCCCCTTTTCAATTATAAAAACAACAATCTACTATCATTTCTTCATCATATATTGAGATCTTCTAAGAATTTAAGAATTAATAGCAAATAGTATCTTTTTAGCCGATCTCTATCTCATTCATTAAGCATTTCTTGAGATTTCAGGAGCAACTGTGGAAGTGGAAGCTTGGAATCAAAGTTTGGGTGTTCTAAAAGCTTAGGGAGAACAACCCAGATTCCAACTCCTTAACTAACTCTCAACTATTCAATTACAGTTTCGACTAGACATTCCGTCGAACACCTTGGCTGCACAATCCCAAACGCCATCCCTCTCAAAAAGAAGTGGAAGGCAAGGATTCGAATGCTATTTTATTCAATTTCATTCCCTCATCAAAACAACCACCAACAACTTCACAGATTTTTCGCGATGGGTATCGTAGAATTTCCATCATTCTTCGAAGTGGAGATTTTATTTTTATGAGATAATTTTTTTTTTTTTTCTCTGCAGAAAGAAACTGGGGTAAAGAAGAGAAAACGTACTCGATTGTGCGTTGAAGGAGAAGGAGGTTTAATGGCGATTGAGAGCTTGGAAAACGAAGAAGGCCATGAAAGAGAAGTAGTAGGTTTTTGAATGAAACCTGAAAGTAATGTGGCGGAGGGTGGATGAACTGAAGCTGACCACGACGACGACCCGGGAATTGATGAGCTTAACGTTCCCATACTCCCAGTTTGGCCTCCAGGATTCGCTTCAGCTTCAACTTCCACTGGTATGTCTCCTCCTCTAGTAGAATCTCTTGATTTTACTCTTTTTTTTTTTTTTTAATTATGTCTATATAGTTGCATTCTCTCTCTAAAAGAAATATTGGGTAAACTATATGCTAAATGGTTAGGGTAAAATTTGACCTTTTTAACCTTACAAAGTTTCAATTCTACTTAACTTCTGAAAAAATTGGTGTTAAAATTAAAACTTCATCATATTAGGAGTAGATATGAAATTACTGCACATATGATGAGGGTTTTGATATAATTAAATTGTTTAAACTTTGAAAATTATTTGAAAGACCCTTAAATTTTTAGATTTTATTAATATCCTAGGCATTAATTAAACTTTTAGAAATTTTGAAAAGTATTAACTGATCCTCCCGAAATTAATAGTAAGTGTATTTTTAAAAGTACGGAGTTCATATTATTTTATCCTAGTTAAATTTGGTCTCACTTTTTGTTCTTGACATCATTATTGGGGAAAAAAATAAAATAAAATAAAATAGAAACGAGCAATTTAGCCAAATATATGTACACATGTTGATGTTTGCTTGAATTTACAATTCTACCATCATTCTTAACTACCTAATGAGAGATAAAGGTTAAAATCTTTTAAACAAAACTCAAATCCAAATAATACATAAATACTCATAGGCTTTATAGCATTTGAAATTTATGTATAATATTTTTAATTGATTTGTCTCGTCTTTATATCCTTTATATATTATTTTGTTAGATTATAAATTACCCTTAATTAGAGTTTTAAGGGCCCATACCCATATAATATCCAGATACATATATTAAACACTCATAGGTTCATATTATATTTTATTATAGTGATACCCCTAACCCATTTTCAAACAACAGAAACATAATATAATATATAAACTAGATAATTAGATGATTACGTGGAGGCACAGGGGGTGGGTGTAGGGAGAGGCTGAAAACCGTGTCCAAGTGTTGCCTTCCACACTTGGTCCACGTTGGAGATTGAGTACCCACACTCGTGCTCCGTCCACCCTTCCATCGCATGCACAACGCCAGCAATACGCCATGCGCTCATCACTCTTCTCGCCAGCCAATTCTGTAAGCATTTATTCATGTATAGACGCCTTTAGCATTTGTCTTCAAAAAGTCTAAAATTAATATTTGAAAATTTTATTCCTAATTTGTTCTTCATTGTTTTGAAATTTGAAATATTAACCATTTTCCACACAGGTACTTTACTCTATTAAATTCTAAAACAAAAAGCTTTAAACTAATAGGTTAAAGTATATTAAATATTTTATATTCATCGTTAATGTAGCATATATTAATAAGTTTATTCCTAAATATTCTTTTTAAATAAAACATTTGTGAGAAAATTTGCGTAAATACTCTAAATATCTCTCAACTCTATCAAGTTTTTGTTAGAAATTACCCATCTACACAATAGTATGATATTGTCCACTTTAAACATAAACTCTCATGGCTTTATTTTGGGATTTAGAAGGGCTTTCACAAGATCATAAATATGTATTCCTTGCTTATAATTTATGATCATTTCCTAAATTAGCTAATGTGGAATCACTTCCAACAACCAATCAGAAGAGATTACAAGACACGGTAGAATACTTGCTGTCTATTTCTTGAGATGAAAACTTAGGTAGAGTGGAGGAGTATTTATACTAGAGTCTATGCAATATAATCCTATCAAATTAAATCTTTTTGGAAAAAATATTTAGATCTCTCCTCTAAAATATCTATATATTTTTGTTCTATAATATCTACTAAAATAAATATACAATGCGCCACTACAGTAGCATAATATTTTAACAGTTTTTAATCCCAACCTTGAGTAGGGGAGCATTTATAACAGTTAACAATTTATTTTTAAAATATTTAATCATAGGGAGCATTTACAACGGCTAACAATTTATTTTTAAAATATTTAATCATTTATTATTAAAAATTTTAAATTTTTTTCCTAAAATATCTAGTTATATTTTAAAATACATAGGCAATTACTACACTCAATCTATTCTTAAAATATATAGGTAATTAACTACGCTTAATCCGTTCTTAAAATACCTTAATCCTTTTATATATTTTAAAATATATAGGCAATTAACTAGACTTAATTAAGTGGATGATATTTGAACAGAGAGTACCTCGCAGGAGTGGAGATTCTGAATAGGAGGAGGAGCCTTCATTGCAGGGGTGCAGTGGTAGAAGCAGTCTTTGCGTATAACCTTTGGAGGTAACTGTGAGAAGGGAATGAAAGTGGTTCCTTTTGGTGCCTTCAGTTGTTCTTCATTGGTAACATCATCTCCCACTAACCATATCTGCGTCAATTTATATTTGTTAACATTATTTGCTTGAAAAACAACAAGAAAATGGGTGAAAAGGTTTTTGGAACTCACATTTTCAGAACAGCCTTTTGAAACCATTAGATTGCTCTCAAATTTGGCGTTGGATGATTTGTTGAGCTTCCTCAATTCTTCTTCACGTAACACACCTACCTGCATAACCAAAATCATGAACCCTAAACTTTCACCTCATTTCACCCAAAAA